GTCCCACAGCTCACTCATGTCAAGAGCAGAGCAAGCACAGGGGAGGTGCTGCACACCTTTAACTCCCTCAGCATTTGAGAGGCAGAGGCAGGTGGATCTCTGTGACTTCCAGGCCAGCCTGGTCTACAGAGTGAATTCCAGGACAGCCAGAGCAACATAGTGAAACCCTGTCTCAAAACAAAACAAAACAAACAAAAAACCAAACCAAAGCAAAGGAACAGGGCAAGCCTGAGGGAATACTTCCGGAGCACCTTGGTCTTCACTCACGAAGAAGCTGTTGTAGTAACATTTTTATTCAGTGAAGGACAAACTTACCTGATCCAAGTCATTCCGAAGAGCAATTTTGCTTGTCACTAGTTCATGGGCAAGGTCATCATTCTCTTGTTCCAGCCTCATGCTGGCTTCCTGTAATCTTCGGTTCTCCCTCTGAAGAAAAAGAGCAACAGCCAGAAGTACATATCAGTGCCTGCACATACGAGTAGACACTGGCGGGGGTGGGGGTGGGGCAAGCAACAGCAACAAAGTGAACTCTCAAAGGTGTAAAAGAGAAGGCGCAGTGGCACAGGAAGGCAGGATGCTGTCTGGGAAACAACAGTGAGTTTAGCCAGCAGTGCGGATGCGGTTCTCTACCAGTGAAGTTTAACAACCACCCCCTAAAACCTCCAGACAGAACTTCGTTAGGTAAGATGCTCCACAAAGAGCACAGTTCCAAATGTGCTCCCAATTATGGGAGCTTTTCACATAGACCTAGAACACAGACATACACAATTCTTATTTGAAGCATGCACAGTTTGACATCTAGAGAAAATAGTCTACAAGACACACAGAAATGATGCTGGTCATTTTTTTTTTTTTAATTGCTTCTCTAAGATGAGGAGCCAAATGAATTGAAAGTGCTTAAAAACAGTAAACCTAAAATCAAGATTATGTGGGTTCAAAAGGAAAAAAGAAGACATGTGAGTTTGTGATTCTCTACCAGCTGATTGTTTTATTCTTTATTTAAGATATATTTACTTCTGCACATACCTGTTTTTGTGTTTCTGAGAGCAATGGGTCCTGAAAAGTACTTACTAAATGTTTATTCTGTTTTCTTCAAATTTCAGATTAAATGATTCTGGATAAAATACAATATTGAGTTCTTTTTCTTCTACTTTGAACTCTCAGGAAAAGTTTATGTTATGATGAATGAATTAAGTGACTTTTAGGAAGCAAGGCACCTCTTTACTAGCTGTGAACCGAGTATGGAGGTCTATTTCAGAATAGCAACTTAGTGTCTTATATCATACACTATCCAAAATGTTTTCTTTGTTACTGTTGTTTGCAGGAGACTCCAAAGGAGACTGACAGGAAGAGCTTCAGTGTAACAAGCTCTTTCTGGTTTTAGATTTACAGCTCTGTTAGTGTTTTCTAAAAGAGTGGCAAACCCAGGCAAAGCATTGCAAAAACAGAAGACACGTGTATGTTCTAAATGGCATGGCATACTAGAGGTGGGGATTAATCACCTGTTGCAGAACAACATGGTGTTTCTTAAACAGACAGAGAACCTAATCCTTAATAACTCACTGCCCTCTTCATTTCTGAATGAGGTCTATAAAACAGACAGTAAGAGCAAGGCCTGAGTCTTTCACGGAGACTGAGGACCCATAAACAGGAAGGTCAGCAGAAAAGTTGAAGGGTAGACCTGCACTTTGATGATATCTTTTCATTTGGAAAAAATGAACAGAGACAGTTGGGGGATATAAACAGCCTCTTACAAAACATATCTACTAAAAGCAAAAGAGAAATTCTAAATTACTCAAATACTTTAAAGAAAATTCATGATTGAATTCCATATATTAATACATACTAGAGAAAATTTTCTAAAAATAGCTAGAAAATCCAATTTTTATAACAATATGAACAACAGATATCAGCTGTAGGCAGTAGGTTAGTTTTAGTATTATCTTTCTCTTCTTGAAATGTCCCCAGGTTTTCTAGAATGACTATAATACAATTACAATAGGATTTAAAAAACTTTTGTTAAACTCTTTCAATTCAGAATTTCAATTCTACTAGAGGGGATAAAACACTAAAATGTGAAGGAGGAGGAGGAAGAGGAGGGGGAGGAGGAGGAAGAGGAGGGGGAGGAGGAGGAAGGGAAGGAGAAGAAGGAAAAGAAGGAGGAGGAAGAAGGAGGAAGAAGGAGGAAGAAGGAGGAAGAAGGAAGAAGGAGGAGGAGGAGAAGGAGGAGGAGGAGGAGAAGGAGAAGGAGGAGGAAAAGATTTAAGTCTACTGCTAAACAAGGTCATTTTCTATACAAACCACACTGGACCTTTTCTAGTGACCAAGACACAATGTAACACCTGAGAAGTTCTTTGCCCTATATGTTCCTGAAAAGACAGTGTTCCCTGGATAGGTAGGGCATCTTATATTTGTTAAAAATCTATGTTCCCACAGCTCCACTCTCCCACTGAAGTACACAGGTAATAGATATGAAAAGGCTCCTGAGGCAGAACCTCTGCTGATGAAACCCGATTTCTACCAGGGGCTGGTGAGTTTGTATTTCTGAGATGTCTATGAATTCTTTGCAGAAATGACTCATGTGCTTGCAGAAAACTCAGATTTTTAAAACATATTTCAGAAACTTTTTCAATAACTATCTCTTTGCCAGGAAACAACAGTAATCCAGTATGATTTCCACATCACATATTTCACAAGGCAGACTGCTTGGGTGGAGAAGAGATTTTTCTCATTTCTTGATAAATCCTTTCAAGAGGCCAAGATAAGACTTCTCCACCACCTGTTCCTGAGTTCCATGTCCTGTTTCTACTGAGACTGTGCTCCCAGAACACGAAGATACAAAGTGCTTTCTCAACTATTATTTACATCATATTGATATACTACCAGTTTTTCAGGTTGCTGCTATTGTGTTCAGAATGTATTAACCTCCAGGTAGTCATATGATGTCCATGGGAAAGTTACTTACTCAAGTATTTAAAAGTAGTACCAGGTAGCAACTCCACTCTCAATAAAGCACAGGTCTGATGGATTATGTATTACAGAAGCAAGCTGTGAGTGAGCACAGCAGAAATTCTGACTGGAAACTTCTCCTAACTGATGAAACTTGAACCCTTCATCACAGACACACAACCAAAGGGGTCAGAACAAGGGGAACTCTGAAGAAGTGTCTGAGAGTCCCTATGAAGCAGACTGGCCCATGAGGCATGCCTACTGGCTTTTGCTTTAGCAAGCAGCTTCAGTTTGGTGTCTGCAAAGCAAGCAGCACAGTGGGAAGTGTCAGGTGCCTGCTCTGCACTCACAGACAAGGAAAAGCAAGCTATGGGGCCAAAAATGCAGTATCATCCTCCAGAGGGCAATCCTGGGTACGCCAGAGGCACGGAATGCAACTGAGTACAACTGTGAGGGTCTGCTGCGGGGACAGGGATTTCCTGTGATGAACATGCCCAAACACACCAAGGATTAAAACATAGTATAATGCTTAGGTGTCTTTTCTAGTCTTCCCTAAGGAGCCAAAACTATTTTCAGAACTGACTACTTTGAAAAAAAAATTTTCCTTAAAACTAGGGACAAAGTTGGGTTTGACAGTCTTGGTTCATTTCAAACCAAGGATCTGCCCAAGGGAGAGACCATGTAGTCAGCTGAGTAATTTCAGCCAGCGCAGATATCCACACAGTGGATGTTAGTAAGGACAGATGTGTCAACATCCCAGAGTCTGGAAACAAATCAGGCAGATGGCTCCTCTTGCCTTTCAGAAAAGATTACAGGAGGCATAGTTTATGTAACCTGCATATCACACTTCTGAAACATGCTCCATCTCACACAGCTGACACCATTTGAACAAAAACCATACAGCTTTCCTCAGTGCCTCCCTCCCTCCTTCCCTCTTGCACAGGACTTGCACACCTGGGAAAGTTTGGTTAGTAACTTTTAGGAGGACGATACTGCATTTTTTCAGACACAGACACTAATACAGACACACACAGATTGAAAAAAAATCAACTTACCTCCTCAAAGGTCATAGACCAACTACCGTTTTCAACCATAGGTACAAAGACAATTAAAAAAAAAAAGAGGAATATCCAGTGAAATTGCACACCTACTAATACATGTAGGAAATGGCAGTAATAGAAACAGACACTTGTTAATATTCTCACTGTTTGCTCAGAACGCCATATAGTGAAGTTCTCTCTGTGACTGCAAACATTCAATGGAAAAGTATACTCGAGGCAGCCAGTGGGCAAGTCTCAACTCAGGAGGACTCCAGCTTGAAAACTCCACCCTCTCCAACACTGCTATTTGCAGTTGCATGACTTATGAAAATGAAAATGCCGTGTGTGGAAATATTAGCAACTACAGATGACTTGTTGATTTTGTGTTAATGCTGGGTGGGAGGAACTTCCTCATAGGATGAGATCAGAAGCCTTGCAGAATAGTTCCTCTTTGAAATTGTTAAGCAGAGAAAAGCAAATGGGAAACTGTGCCTGGTTCCTGTTTATTTCTGGAGGCTGAAGATTTTGTGAAGCCATCTAAGGGATGGCAAGGAGAAACCAGAGAAATGCTAATTGGCAGGAAAAGAAAATGAACTCAGCTTTCAGGGAAGAGTGATGCAGAAGGCAGGGCTACGTAAACCACACAGTATTTGGGGCGTGTTGTCTGCTGCTATGATGAATTCTTGGCATAGGCTTTAAAAATATTTAAGGGTCAGGAGAAAATGTTTCTCTCACAGATCCAGCACAATTTTATTAGCAATAAAACCATTCACTCTTCAGTTTTCTTTAAAAAAATGCTTCTTTTAATTTTTATTTTTTATGTGCATTGGTATTTTGCCTGTGTGTATGTCTGTGTGAGGGTGTCGGATCCTCTGGAACTAGGGTTACAGACAGTTGTGAACTGTCATGTAGGTGCTGGGAATTGAACCCAGGTCCTCTGGAAGGGCAACCAGTGCTCTTAACCACTGAGCCAACTCTCCAGCCTTTGGACATTTAAAAGAGTTGATCATCAAACTTAGATTTTCAAAAGACAGGTTTTTTTTTTTTTTTATCTACAAAGATGAAATGCTTAGATATCTATTTCACCTATAAATGAAAATTCAAGAGAAACCTCTGGATATTGGAAAATACTTAATGCTTTCTTCCTTTTCTCATCACATTCAATTTCATCTTTCTTATGGAAATTTAAACATTTAAAGTGTCAAACTAAAAATAAAACTTTGTCAGAAATAACTACAGGAGGCAAAACACTGCATTTCTTTATGTACTACAAACAAACAAACAAAAGCCCCTGCAAACTCAGGTGGTACTTTAGCAACGGAGAGTAAACATTTCAGCACCACAGGCCACATTTCCATGCTGAAATGATGGTCACTGTGCAGAACAAAAACAACACACCAGTCATCCAGATGTGGCCCACAAGCCGCTGTGGCTTTCTATTCTAGCACACAGATAAACTGGGCTACATAGTGAGTTCCCAGGCCAGTCTGTGTTAGTGTGAGACCCTGTCTTCAAAAACAGCACACAAAAAGCAAATAGTTACACATGATATAGAAACAAATTGTTGTCATATAGTTTTCTCAACAATAACAGGAATAAAAAGTTTCTTTTTTTTTCTTTTTCTTTTTTTTTTTTCTGGAGCTGAGGACCGAACTCAGGGCCTTAGCGCTCTACCACTGAGCTAAGTCCCCAACCCCCAAAAGTTTCTAACAATACAAGAAAAACACTGGAGGGTGCTAGAGATCGATGATAGACACAGTAAAAAATTCTCTTATGCTTAATATTTTTATAGCTCCACATGTGAAACGTGACTGAGTCAGGGGCAGCACCATTCGAAGCCATCTGCTCCTCCTTAGCTATATTCTTCAGCAGCTACAATAGGGAACAGTGTTATCCAGGCTCAGAAGAATATGGAACCTTCTCAAGTTTAACACAGTGATAAATAAATTCTGTTTATCACAAGCAAACAGGAACCATCCTCATATCCATTATTACTCATTAAGAACACCTTATTTTACAGGGTAGGCATTTCCCAAAGCCAACAACAGTTTCTATGATATGAAAGAAATAACACATATACTTATTTTCATTGGTAGAACATTATTTTTCAAGGATAGATTTACTTCTCCTGACATCCATTAAGTAAAGGCCCAATACACTAATGTTAAATAAGTTAAATAAATAAATAAATAAATAAATAAATAAATAAATAAATAAATAAATAGAAATAAAATCACCACTTTCTCTTTTGCAGGTAAGAAAGAAAAATTTAGTATGATTTACAGAACTCATTAGAAGAATCATTTCTGGGGCTGGAGAGATGGTTCAGCAGTTAAGAGCACTGGGTGCTTTTCCAGAGGCCCTGAGTTTAATTCCCAGCCACCACATGGTGGATCATAACCATCTGTAATAGGATCTGATGCCCTCTTCTGGCATGCAGGTATACATGCAGAGCACTCATACATAAAATATAAATAAACAAAAATTTAAAAAAAAGAAACCCTGTCTCGAAAAACAAAACAAAACAAAAATCCAACTCCTCCCACAATCCATCATGCATGATGTGAAAGACACAAAGAATAAATAAAAAAGAATACAAAAAATAATTAAAAATCTGTGCTATGCTCCTGAGAGTAACCATGGACATTATTCCAAAGATAAATATGTACAAAAACCATTGAGTAATAAGAAATAATAAGCAATAAAGAAGTCATCAAAAAGTGAAAAAAAGAATTATTTCTATTTGAATTATATTTTGTTCAGCTTTGTATTGGTTTGGTGGTGCTAGGGATCAAATCCAGAGGCGTCCACATGCTAGGCATGTCCTTCACCACTACCTATGCTGTTTGAATTTCATTTCGACTTTAAAAAATGTACTATGTCTAACTAAGCTTGTGAAGGCAGTTAAACATGCTACATTTAACTATACTGAACAGGGCTATATATTTAAGCTCCAAATTATATATTTATGTTATTATGCATATCTTAAACCCAACAGTTTAAATAGTCTACATTCTTCCCAGGATCTCCCCCTACAGAACAGGTAGCACTTCCTATGCTTTGGGAAATTCACTGAATTTAATTAATTACTTGTGTTTTTACAGACCTGACCCACATTGCTATCAGCAGCTCTTAATTAAACAAGAAAAAGAGTGTATCTTTCCTTAAAGGTGGATGATAGCTGTAGTTCTCTAGAAGCTTCACCAGTTGACTCTATTACTGAAATTCTTTCCCCACAATGAAAGCAACCAGTCCTCTGTGTAGGATATAGAATCTTGATTTCTAACATTGTTATCTGCTTTGGTGGGTTTGATTACTAATTTTAAAATGTTTTAAAACAGATATATCTATCTATAAATACGTATTTTCTGGGGACATCATTAGCCATATCTATAGCTCACATTTTCTCCATTTGAACTCAATCAAATTTACAAATCAAAAGGTCAGAATATATACACAAAACAACATCACATTACTTGATCAGGTTAAGAAGCAGGAAAAAAGTTTAGAATTAATGCTGTATATTTATTCTCAAGAAAAAAATCCTTCTCTTTTGGAGTCTTATGGAGTTAAACAGAAAGGCACCAATAAAGACTGTAAGCAGTTTTTTGAGGGTTCCCTGGGTCTCAATACAAATTTGATGCCAGATTAGGTAGTGTGTATGTTTGTGCTTATTACTCTATGTGTAAATATATGGATAGGAACACTACACATTCTACTTAGAAATTACCAAGCAACACTAAAAATGAATGTACCATTTATATTGTTCAACAGTCATCAATTAGCTCAAATTTTGACAAAAGATCTCCTTTGCACAAGTATGACTTCTATGTAAGTACTGCATTTTGACAGAAGCAACTTGGGGCTCACAGAAGAAATGGTGGATGGAGTGGGGATGTAGCTGGTTCGTAGAACGTTTGCCTAGTGTGCAAGAAGTCCTGGGTTCAAAGTTCAGTTCTCAGCATCACATAAACAAGGCATGGTGGCTTTTACCTGTAATCTCAGCACTCAGGAAGCAGAGGCAAGGGGCTCAGAAGTTTGACACAGTCATCTTCAGCTACACAGTGAGTTCAAGTCCAGCCTAGGACATGGGAAACACTATCTCACAGAAAATACAGTAGTTGGGGAAAGGACTTAGTTGGTAAAGTGCTTGTCATGCAAGCATTAAGACCTGAGCTTAGGTCTTTAGCATCCACGTTAAAGGCAAGCAAGAAAGCAACAAACAAACAGTGTAGCTGTGTGTGAGCTCATTGAGTACCCAAATTAGTGAGCTTCAGGTTCTGTGAGGAATCCCATCTCAAAATAAGGTAGAGAGTAACTGAGGAAGACACCAGACACTGACATTTAGCCTCCATGCCCATTTGCACATACTTGTATATGCATGTGCATATGCATGTGCACACATACACACACATATCAAAAATAAAGAAAAAAGAGAAAATAGAAAAGAAAGAGGGTGGTCTAAAAGTCAGTATTCTGGAACACTTGTCTTGGGTTAGGGTATAGATTTAATTTGCACACCATAAAATTATGTGCTTTTTGAAGAGGGATTGTTGAGCTATAGTCTCACTATGTAGCCTAAGCTGGCTTCAAACTCTTGACCCTCTCTCTGCCTCAGCCTCTTCTGTGCTGGGACTGCAGCTGTTCATCATCATATGTAACAAAATGATGCTTTAGTATACAATTCAATTACATGAAACTGTATAGCCATCACCACTACCTAATTGCTGAACATTTCATCGTGCTTAGAACTTTAAAATTATACCAACACCATTCCTTCTCTTTATTCATGGTTGGGACTGAGGTGTTGCATGTAATTAATCCAGTAATATAAACTGACAATATAATAGGCACAAAGAGCACGGTCAGATGGGAGGGCATGAAGGGGATGCAACTGTTCACTGAACCAGTGGGCTCACACGTGCTGGGCAAGTGCTTTACCCTTGAGGTACACCCCTAGGCCACATGTTTAGATTGGTACAGCAAAAAGTGTGACTGTAAAGAGCAGCATTTGCCAGCTCTCACTTGTGCAAAAGCCCTTCTTCAATGCCATCAAGTATGGGAAAATTAATAGCACTAAATTGGAACAGTTTATGATATGACATTTCTGGGTTTTGTTTTTGTTTTTAAAAACTCACAGTCTTTCCAACTCTCTTGCCATATGGCAAGCTGGAGGTTGACATGGCAATTTATGCAATATGGGTTTCAATGGTGAAGGAGAACTTGTTCCTGAACAGGTGTGAGTTCTCAATGTTTTCAAGATCTTCCCTAATAAATGAAAAGTGCCTGTTCCCAAAGGGATCAGAAGATGCCAAAAGTATTTTTAAGATACTTTGTTATATTAAGATGATTACAATTTATTTCCTTAAATGTATTTATTTCCTTATTTTTTTCTTTCTTTCTTTTTTTTTTTTTTGTTTTTTTTGTTTGTTTGTTTTTGGAGACAAGGTTTCTCTGTGTAGCCCTGGCTGTCCTGGAACTTGCTCTGTAGACAAGACTGGCCTTGAACTTGGAGATCCACTTGCCTCTGTCACAGGAGTACTGAGATCAAAGGCATGAACCCTTATACCAAGCTGTTACTTATCTGTGTGTTATATGTGTAGGCACACATATGCCACAGTATGAGTGTAAAGGTTAGAGGACAAATTTAGGGAGTCAGTTTTCTCCTCCACGTGTGGGTCCAGGAAATCGAATCAGGCCATCAGGCTTGGAAACAGGTGGTTTTACCTGGAAGAGCCATCTCTCCAGCTGACCTTAATTTACTTCTTAAACCAGATTTTTGTGTACCTGAAGGACCAAATCTGTTGATAGCTAGAACTATGTTGGCAATTAATAGCTTGAAATATAATTACAACTTGATTATAATTTTGCCAAGTAGATCACTGGGACTGATACCTAAACATTATTAAAAAAGGTATAGAAATATTGATTACATAATATACTAGAAAGCCACTAAAATCATAACAAAGAAATAGTGATAGAGAGTGTATGACATGTTCAAATAAAAGGCTACAATGGGATGAAGATCTGCCTGGAATACACAGTAAGAGTCTCTCAAAATAAAACCAACCAAACACAAAAAAACCAAGCCCCACAATACTTGAATCTAAAATAACTACTTTTAAAACAGTTGATTTTATATCAATAAAACGGTACAAATAATCTTACAGTTTATACATGATGTTTATACACATCTGCTTTGACAAAAAGGATGTAAGACACTGTTACAGTTCAGTTGTTTTACAGCCTCTTTGGGTTCAGTGAGGCATTTGTTGTTGTTTTAGTTTGTGTTTTTAGATAGGGTCTCACTATGCTGCTGGTTTCAAACTCCTGGACCTGAATGATCCTCTTGTCACAGAGAGCTATATATGTGCATACAACTGTGCTCAGCTTTTGACTGTAATTATGTAAGTTTGGGCTATTATTTCCTTCTCTTTTATCTGAAATCACTTTATTCATAATATTCTGAAGATTAGAATGATCAAACAATTAAAGGGCTTTCATTTGATCTTTAACAGTTCATCATGAGTCCATTCATGACTTTCTGTATCATAGGTCTAGCATTAAAACTGGATTTACTGAGAAGATAATAGTGGATAGTCATCAAACCTTCTCTATGAGCATATAATCTGATAATAGTTATCTATCATAACCATATGTGGAATTATTTTTATTTCTCAAGCCAGTTCTAGAAGAAGGGAAGAAGTATGACTGATGATAAGACTATAGGGTAGTAATACACAAAATATGAAGATGATCAATGAAGGACTGGAGAGGCAGAGCCAAGCAAGGTTATATTATTCTAGTCATGCTTATAGTAGTGGAGTTTAAAAACGAATAACCATTTATTAAACACCAATTATGCTCTGAGTACTTAACATATGACATCCTTCAATCTCACAGTAATCCACCACAAAATCATGCATGCCCGTGCATTTTACAAACAAGGAAAGGGTCAATGACTGACTCAAAATGCTGACCAGTAACATAGGGACCAAAATCCTCATCTATGGTTTCAAATCCTGTTGGCTTTTCCAGTGAGCCAGAAATTTAACTCAAGTTGGTTTGACTATGAAACCCATAGGCCCTGTCCACTATGTTCCTCTGTGAGCATTCCTTGCTGTTCTATTCAACAATAAAATCAAGATGCTCAGTGTGACTGCTGCCAACATACACTTTTCCAACCACAAAGGCAGCTCTGGTTATGGAAGTAAAAGCCATCTCAGTGTGAATGGTTTCATTAAGATTGCCACCATACCTTTTTTTAGAATGGTATTTAGGCATCAGTTGGATACTGATGTAGCGAGAGGAACTTTGACATATCTGTATGAGTCTCAAGAATTAAAACAGCTAAAGGAAGACAATACATTTCCGAAGGTAAAAAATAAATTGCAAGTCACTGTTTCCCAACACTGCATGCTGTAGCCAATGCTGTTAATTACCACTGAAAAGATCTATCTTTGTGATGACACAATTTTTTAAATAACCAAACTAATGAAGATACAAGTGAAATAATTTGGATTCTGAAACTGCATGCAAATGTCAGGTTACCTATGATTTGTGAAAATGAAACATTGCAACAAACACATTACTGTGCTTGATACATTTTTGTGGTTTTTATTTTTCCTTCTGAGTTTGGATTTTGAACATCTGCTACAGACAGGGACAAGTTTGCAACATCCTTGAGTCAGTCTTGGAATGGTCACATCTACGAGTCTCTGTGGAAGTGATCATGCACAGCTAAGACAGTACTTTTTGGCATTTTCTGTTTTATTTTCCTCAATTTTGAAAGCAGAAAGCCACTTTCTTTTTCCCTTTCTCTCAGCTTCTCATGAAGATTCCCAGTATACATGCAACAGCTGGAGTTACCTATAAATATACAAACTGAAAGAAAAGAAATATTATGGTTGAATACTTGGGAGTCAGTTGAAAATGAAGACACAGGCATAGTCAGCATGTCACTGTCTGAATAGTTCAGGGTGGAGCGGAGGGAACGGAACTCACCACAACTGCTGAATTAGGGTACATAAAGTCCTTTCTGCCCTGCTAAGTGCCAAGCGTCTCTCGTACCTTGTATCTATCCATTGGGTCTTCCTGTTGCAGCTGATTCTCCCGCATTGCCTGATACTCTTTTTCATATTTCTTCAGCTTTTTGGTTGGTACCTGCAGTGTTTGGAGAACAACATGTTAGATAAGAACCTTATATTGCAAAAACAAACAAACAAAAAACACTTTTTAAAATGTTTTGCAATTATGTTGCTGGTATTCTAAAGCAACATTTCCAACTCAAAGGTGGGGTAAAAACCGGATTCTAGAATAGAGTCCAGTAGACTTTTTCCTGTGAAGGAGAGGGTAGTGTACACTGCAGACTTTGTAAGCCATATCACTGACGTTATAACCATTCAACTCTACTGTGACAAAAGGTGCCATGGGCAGTAGATAAGTAAATGTGTATGGCTCTGTTCAAATGTTATAAAAATAATCAGTTTGTCCCTGTTCTACCATACTCCTGATGTCACAACACAGTTTGTGAATAAATTTAATACTATTAATTTTAGCTATTGTTAGGTATAATTTATTCTATCATATTAAAAAGTGAGCATTTCTTTTTTTATAAAAATATAAAATTAAGCTGGGCGGTGGTGGCACATGCCTTTAATCCAAGCACAGGGGAGGCAGAGGCAGGAGGATCTCTGTGAGTTTGAGGCCAGCCTGGTCTATAGAGAGAGTTCCAGGACAGGTTCCAAAGCTATACAGCAAAACCCTGTCTCAAAATAAAAAACAATAAATAAATAACAATATCATAAAGCAAAAAGGCTGTAAAATCTGACACTGAAACCTGAGGATGTGAGATGATTACGCTGAATAAAACAATAAAAATGAAACAAATCATCTATTTCCTGCTACGATTATGCCATCTTCAAAAGACAGCTATTAAACTGGGCATGGAGGCACACTCAGGAGGCAGAGGCAGGTAGAACTCTGTGACTCTAAGGATGGATTGGTCTACAAAGCAAGTTCCAGGTTAGCCAGGCTACTACTGAGAGCCTGTTACAAAACAAAACAAAACAAAACAAAACAAAACAAAACAAAACAAAACAAAACAGATAGTTGTTCATTTTTCTCTAAAGACCATAAGCTTTCAATATTAGAATTCTAAGAATAAACACAGGATATGGGCTACAGAACTGTCAGTAAGAAACTAGTGTTTGAATGACCATGATCTATGAATGGTAATAGTTCAACAACTAGACACTTGGCTGCCTAGCACAGTTTCTTTACTTAAAAAATTGCAAATAAGTTTCTACCAGGTGAATTCTAGGAGAATTAAATGATGAAACAGATAATGTATCAAAAATGCTGCCTGGTCTGTAGAAATTTTTAATAAAAAATATTCAGTAAAAATTAATGTATAGTAATCTATTCTGTTCTATAAGAATGATCAAGTTCATTTTTGTTGTATAATAAAAATTATATAATTTCTCTTTTTCTTTCTAGTGGCGCTTACATCTACCTGTGACCTACATCCAAGGGGAGGGGGAAGCTAAGGGTATTGGGAAAGGGAATGGAGTCCCCTAGCATTCCCGGGGGACCAGAATATTTCAGTGTTTTTGCCACTGGACTGCTATACCACCAGGAATTAGGCTGAGCATCAGTCCCATGTGGAAGTATTTTATAGATAGTTCTGCAGTGGGTCTATTCATGAATAACTTATAGCAAGCTTATTCCCTGAAAATCTTCAAACTATTAACTAAGATTCTTTTGACATGTAAAACTCAAGCTCATTTCAATGTGAAAAAAATTAAAAGGTATTTAACACTTTCAAATATATATATATATATAATAATTATTATTTAAATGCACTAAACACCCTCAGTAAGTGAATCCTTCCCATCTGGCTGAGACTCTGTGATGCTTGGCTTCATCTTCTTCGGGGAAACAGAACAGGTTCCCAGAGCAATGTGTTGCTAGGAAACCTTCCAAGCTTATTTATCTTGTGCTATGGGGCGAAACCAAGCATCCACCTGTAATTGGAACAATGCAAAAGGAGAAAGACTGGGGGAAAGCAAGTGGGGCAGTTTTTAGACTCTTGGTATGGATGAGGTAATCAGGAAAATGAGTCTTCACATTCTGACATTACAGTTCAGGAATAAATACAAATTATATGTTATTTTAGAGAATATGGAAATTTGCAATTCTTCTTACTGAAAAAAGGAATTACAGAAAACCTGTTCAGTATGTAGTTTTCATTAAATTCATTTAATTTTCTTTAAAAGAACAAAAGGTCAACTGAAAATTATTAAAATTGAAAGAATCTATTACCTCAAGTATAGGTGTTTATCCCTGAGGAAAGTCAATTTAACGAAGGTATGCACTTAAAGAATGTGCTAAAGATTAGCTAGCATTCCTTTTAAGCGCTGAATGGATGTGGTGTGTGGGTCCTTTCACCAGCTGAGTACCCTCTACCTTTCCAGAACTTCCTGTCTGGCTGAATTCAGGAAATGAGGACAACTGACAACAAGCACTCAATATTTCAAAATGTCACTTTAGAGCCGGGCGGTGGTGGCGCACGCCTTTAATCCCAGCACTCGGGAGGCAGAGCCAGGCGGATCTCTGTGAGTTCGAGGCCAGCCTGGGCTACCAAGTGAGTTCCAGGAAAAGGCGCAAAGCTACACAGAGAAACCCTGTCTCGAAAAACCAAAAAAAAAAAAAAAAAAAAAAAAAAAAAAATGTCACTTTAGAAAAGGCAGTGATACAGCTCCTCTGTAGAGTGCTCTGCCTAGCAAAAGACCTGGAATTTAGTTTTCTAACCTATTTTTTAATTTTAACCAACCAACCAAACAGGAAAATCAAACTGGATTCCAGCTCTGACAGAACTACAGCAGCTAAGGGCCGGCATGCCGGATGACAGCTATACTCTGGGATGACAGTATCTTCAGACAGAACCAGTGCTTTGAATCATTCATGTTAGAGACATATGACACAGCACTTGACCCTGACATGGAGACTCATGAAATAAACATCCACTTACACAGAATTAGTTAATCAGAGGGGGAGGGACTTTTGGAGATTCAGCCTTTTCTTCAGGATGAAGAAGCTGAATAACTGTGGCCAAATTCTGGATGGAGCTGCTGCAGCCTCACACTCCCTGACCTCCTCTAGATTCCTACTTGCAGAGAGTGGGCCCTCTTGCAGATGAAATGCTACCCAATGTTACTGACACTAGTGCAACTTTTTTGTCATATTCATACACATTTTATTTACTGACTTTCTCTTACTCAACTTTAAAAAATACACAGACTTATTTTATAAGAAAACAATTAACTTGAAGTCAAAGTAGAAAAACAGCCACTCAAAACTGCCTTCAGGTTAATCCCCAGAACCAGTGAATCCCCAGAACCAGTGACTATGCTGTTTTACAGTACAGTGCAAAATGGATTTTCAAATGTGACTAAGTCTAAGGAATCCGAGATAGAAATATTTTAGACTATTGGGTAAATCCTGTGAAATTACATGAATTGTTAAAAGAGAAGAATTTTTCTGACTTCACTGAGATGTGACTATTGGCAAAGGGTCAATCCACTGCTGCTGCTGCTGCCTTTGGGAAACAGAATTTCCTCAGTAAAGGAAAGTGAGCAGCCTTTTCATGCTAGAAAAAGCAAAGAAATGGACCTCCACAAAGGAACATGGTTCTGACAACACCATCATTTTTGTTCAGTGGGATCCATGTCTTCTTCCAACCTACAACTCTATACAGTACTACACATGTCCTCACAACCACCTAACTCATAGGGATTTACTATGGTACTAAGAGGGAACTAAAACAATATATTACAAATAATAATTGCTATTAGTTGTGATGTTAAATGTTGACAAATAGAAGTCAATCAAAAGTCTTTATATGTTTGCCGAAAGCAATAATGGCATACATGTATGAAAATGCCAGAATTAAATCTACTACTGTCATGCTAACTTAAAACACTGAAGAGAAACCCTCCCCTCCTCTTCATGTAACTGACTGTAAGAATGCCATTATAGAATAAACTATAAATGGTTATGCCTCATGTTACAAAAACCAGGATACGAAACTGGATACAGTAAGTGACAGGTAATGGCCATGTAGCTCCATCTGAAGTACAAACTCATGTGATCCCTTTGAGCTTTCTCTTTTAAATCACTAATCACACTGGCTGTGGTATTTCTGAAGTTGTATCCAGGCCTTGCTAAAGAACTAGTCAGTATCCACAGGTATTTTCATTATGGTTTCATTGCATTACATTTTTTAAGTGACCTTTTGGCCCCTCTAAAGTAATAATGATGACTAATATTTTGAAAGATACTACACTAAATCAAATGGTCCTTTTCATTTATTTCCCAGATGATAAAACCTAGTAGGTGTCAATTCAAAATCACTGACGAACCTTTATTAACTCCACTGCTGGCATAATGCTTTCACCTGCTACTTACTGATGAGATTAAGTCATATTCCACTGTTATCAGGAAATAATAAAGAAAAGAGTCTAATAAGTTTAAGGTCGAGGGGGGTCATAGAATAGTAACCTCTAATAATAGGAGAGGAGAAAGCTGTCATTACCCAGTTGCCTTGCTTTTCTTCACACCAATCACCCTAGCCTAGTCAGAGATACCAGAGAGAAGATAGCAAAAGAATACAGCTTGAGTGTTCCTTATAGGAAATGTGTAGGGAAATGCTTTGGATTTTGTAATCTGGAATATTTGCAAATATGTAATGAAGTACCTTGGAGATGGGATCCAAGTGTAACCACTAAACTCATTTATGTTCCATATATACTTTATATAATAACTAGAAGATGATTTAAACAGTTTTAGTGCATGTGTAGTGCTGGGGGATGTTTTGTATGTTACGTGTGTTGCCCTGATTGGGTAATAAATAAAACACTGATCGGCCAGTAGCCAGGCAGGAAGTATAGGCGGGACAAAGAGAAGAGAATCTGGAGAAGTAGAAGACTGAGACAGGGAGACGCTGCCAGCCACCTCCATAACAAGTGAGATGTAAGGTACCGGTAAGCCACGAGCCACGTGGCAACTTATAGATTAATAGAAATGGGTTAATTTAAGATAGAAGAAGTAGATAACAAGAAGCCTGCCATGGCCATACAGTTTATAAGTAATATAAGCACCTG